TCGAAGGAATATCCCCGGAGTGATGAATCCTAAATGCCAGTGTGGATATCCGTCTCAAAATGTCAAACAAATGGTCTTGGCGTGTCCTCAGTGGGTAAGGAGAAGAGAAGAGGTTTTTTAAAAGGCAAAAGTTAGGTCCTTTGCGGCAATGATGAACAGCCCAGATGACATGGAGAGAATCACAAAATGGATCCTGGCAAAAGGCTGGTTTGAACAATTCTGGCTTGCAGGAGAAGTATAAATAGCATTAGACGAAAAGATGAGACGATGTGGACAAGGATAAGACGGAATTCACACTGTATAAATAGTGTAAACGAACTTCCTGTTGGAAACCTCGGAAATCCGGGGGACTATTCTCAACACCTGTCAGTGGTGTCCCTTACGAACCTCTAGCTCTCACTGTAGAGTCTGCTCAGCCGAGATTGAGTAACAAAGTCCTCACTTCGACGAGGATTCCCAATCACTTTCGCGGTCTATATCGTCTTCATCTCTCAACACATACCCCTTTCACCATTATCATGAAGCTAACCACGATCAGATCAGATGATAGGGTCGGAGCTCTACTCATCACCAAACCTTGATTACAGAGGAAAAGCCATCCGATGAGTTTCCGGAGCGTACCCAACACCCGATACGGAGATGGTGGATTGGATCAAGTCGGCCTCGACTGTTACAAAAAAGTGAGATGTAGATGGATATGCGCACCTCATGTGGTCCCGGTGTCTAGGCCTCGCCTGGCTGGGGCTGCAGGTTTTTTGAGACTTTTTCCCGCGCACGCAGTTTCCATTGCTACCATTCTTATTTTTTTTGGGTAGGAGGTTCCGTGGAAAAGGTGGCCGAATTCCACGGGTAAATACTGAGCTGAATGGCTATTCATCAAGGGGAATATATCAATGATCTTTCAAGTAACAAAAGATGATAGGAGCACTGTACAAGGTGTGGCCTGGGTCAGAGAGGAGCCCAATGTGCTAGATAGTCATAGACTCAAGTAGCACAATAAACACAAACACACACACACACACACACAATTTTTTGAAATTCGAATATTCGAATATCCCCCTTTACCCCTTCTCTCTCCCTCTCGCGCTCGTCGCATCCCTTCAATAAATTGTAATCGAGTCACTGGCATTTTCGTCATGCCACCTGTTCGAAAAAAGCTCCCCAACTCAATGTTGGACAACGCGAGAGTCCGCCCGAGGGCTCCTGCAAAAACACCTGGCCTCGCGCAAAAACTATCAAGCCTATTTGCGAGTGAGGCCTTTGTCCCAGGGAAGTCCACCAATCTTCCCGATCAAGAGATGACTGATTCTGAACCGATCAGAGCAGAAAACAATGGTCCCAAGACCAAAACCCCCGTCGAACTGCCCCCTTTGGCAAGCAGCTCCAGGAAAGGAAAGGAAGTTGTTCGAGAAAAGACAACCGAACGTGCAGAATCATCTGCAGGAAACAATGCTGTGCCAGCCTCTAAAGGCGCAGCATCGACATCAGCAATGGAGTTTCCACCAGAGCTGCAATCAGTGATGGAGGCCGAAAAGCGTCGCACGACGCAAATAAACGCCCGACTCGCAATCTGCTCGACTGCAATCAGCGGTGTCGAAGCAGCACTTTCGCCTCTTTCGATTGGCGATAATAAAGAATTTGTAGACGGAATCAAAGTCTATCTTCGAGCAGCCATCGGCCAGTTCGTACAATCTGGCCCAGGGAGCACACCACCAGCTCTCCCTGCTCGCCCCGCCAACCCTCTTCCGCCGAGGGCACCAGAAATAAGGGTTCCTAACCCTCCAACAATCCAGGCTCCGGCCCCAAAGACAACTTGGGCCACCGTAGCTCGGGCAGGCCTAGTCAGTAGCGCTGGGCCATCGACAAAAAAGGCAGCACCACCCGCCCCCAAAGCAAAGAGTGCCAACTCGAGGACAAAAGCCGATTCACGACTTTTTCTGCGCCTTGACTACTTCCACCCCCACCGTCTCCTCTCTCCAGCTGGAGTAAGGCTAGCGGTGTCTCAGGCGCTGGGAACCGCTGCCAACAATATCACGTTGGTTCAGCGGGTAAAGACCGGCTTTGCAATAACCGCAAAGGATGAACTCGCTCGAACAGAGCTCCTAGATTCCTCCACATCACGGAGCGAATCTGGAATCAAACTGGAACCAGCATCAAATCTGGTTGCCATGCAAATTGCCACCGTCCCGGAGACAATTCGAACTCTTGCTGGCCCAATCGCCGTGACGGCAAAGATGGTTGCCGACGAAGTCACGCGAGTGACCCAGTTGGTTCCCTTTCTGGTTCGTCCTCATGGGACTAGCAAACCAGGGGCGCCCTACTCAAATTGGCAAGCGCTATTTCCCCGAGAATCCGCTCCTCGACCTGGATTCCGCCTTTTCGACGACTCTGGAGCTGCAAAGCTCTTCCGACCTCGTCGCAAAATCGAACAATGCAAACGGTGTCTTGAATTTCACGCCACCCGTGGTTGTTCCCGCGCTCCAGCTTGCTGGAATTGCGGATCTAATATGCACTCAGAATCAGAGTGCAAGGCCCTCACCCGGTGTCGAAACTGTGGGGGACCTCACCGATCGGATTCCCGGGCCTGCTTAGCCAGACCCAGCAAGTCCGGACCGGTGACAAAAGAGCAGCTCGCGCGGATCCGCCAGATCCAGCAAGGGGAGTTCGCGAAAGTGGCACGATTTAGGGCTGCAGCCAAAAGGGCCGAAGAGGCAACGATGGCCTCAACGAAGGATGTCTCGATGGCCGAGGGATCGGGTTTCGGAATCCTGGAATCCGAAGAAGAAGTTTGAGGGTACAGCAACCCTCGGTGAAGTCTACAAAAAGCTTCAAAGTATATAGCAGGATACCAGCTGAATTCAGGGTATCTGCGAACTAGTCTTTCGCTCTCAGCGGAGATAAGAAAAAGTCATGTGGAAGATGTGGCAGGAAAGGGAACGGGCGAGAAGCGCGGGATCCGGACCAAACAGTATTTCTTCCAAATTTGATTTCAGTTTTTGATTTATGTTTTTGATTTTAGTTTTGCTGTTAACTTCTACAATTTCAGTAGAAGTTCATGCGGTTGGAATGAGTTGGGCCTGTACGCAGTGATCCTTGCCGGCTCCACCGGTCCTTGACCCAATGTGGAAAAGATAGCGTTAGCTTAGGACCAAATGTAAAAACAAACAAACAAACAAACCTCGGAAATCCAATAGACACGAGACAGACAGTTTTAGGGGTCTTTGCCGAATTTGGGATCCTCCTGTGTAAATATTATAGCTAGATAAACCTACATGGGCCCATAGGGCACCTGAACGGGCTAATTGAAATCAAATCAAATCAAAAATAAAACAAAATAGATATTAATTCTACATGTTCCATACATCACACTTTGGTTAGAAAGTCAAAAATCAAGATACATGTTAATCACCAATTGTTATTACTGCTATTGAAAGCTTATGACATAAATACCACCCGAGTATTCCCATACTCGCCTTATTTTAATACTAATCTGAACACGATACTCGATCAGTCATAATCTCTTATCTTTCCGATAATATTGCACCAGTCCCATTGTGTTACATTTCCAATATCAACGCCACATGCTTGAATATTTAATAACCTTCATATCCTGCATTATATCCTAATTTTCACACGATAATTTAATTCCCATACTATTAAAATGTATAACCCACTACTTAGTTCGTGGACTTATAGATAGAGGGAAGCTTATGCAATAATGAAGGATAAAAGGATGTCAATTCGACTACTCTTCTAAACATAGGTACCAGACTCCTTTTAATACCAATGAATAGCCCGTGCGAGATCTCCTATTAGTAGCAGTAAACAACTCTAACACAGGGGAGGGCAAGACTGAACACCTGTACGCGGTGTCCTCTACGAACCTGGGAGTGAAATATTCTCCCAGAGCCAAGTTCAGTCAAACTTCGCAATACCGAACAAGTTGGCCCACGAGGCAATGATTCAAATTACTCCACCATATCAATCTTTCAATCCCAACGAAATCGATTCCTACCTAAGCCTCATCAAGTTTACAGGTACGACCTAGTACATCCTTATTCCAATGGCCATACCTCTTTTCGACTTTCTCTGGCCTCAGCTGGTCACCAAACACACGCCCACGCCGATATTTACACCTGTATGAGGACACAAAGCGTGGCGCACAAATCTGGGAGACTGTTGTTTGAGATTGGCGTGAGAGGACTCAGGACAAGTTAACAAGATGATGCGAAGAATGAATACAGTCTCGACGGGCGTGGAATTTTGAAGTTTGGTAAGGAGTTTTTACAAATTGAGCTTTGTGCGTGCCAAGTCTTCGGCTGCGAGAGTGCAGGCGACACTATAAAAACTGCCATGGTTGGATGGTGCGGTGGTACATCTTCTTGGCCGGTCTGCCAAGTAGAGTCTGGATAGCTTGGACACATATCCCACTTGAGACAGTAGATCGCTGGTTCAAATCCAGTAAAACACAACCACTTTTCTCGCGGCGCTGGTATGCATGGATGACGAAGGCATGCTTGGATAACCTAAGGTTTTGAAATTCCCTTTGGTGGGTACTTACGGAGGAGGGTCGACTGTTTGTGTAAGCAAGCATACCTCATAGTGGTATTTGCGAATGAAATCCAGAGTATGAGTGTCTTTAATGTCAAAAGAGGCATCCAACATGTATACATAGCACCGGTCATGTGTCATAGCTTTATAGCTGAAAAAAAATTAAATGATTTAAAAAAAAAAACTCTAACACAGGGTATAAGCAATCTCCGTTCGCCAAACACCAGTCGATCGGGACTACTAATTATCGAGCCTCGTAGGATCGACAAAGTGTAACCCAACACAGAAACAATAGAAAACTTAACAACCAAACCCTTCATCAATAACTGCCACTAATCATCACCTGAATTATCTCTGTAATCCATAATTTCAACACATACTGCAATAAATCACAACAAGTCTCCAAATTTCAAACCACCAATGGAAAAGACCATCGCCTCATCGCATTTTTAAGTCTCTGTTGTCGTGACTGTCACAGTATGATGATGCTTTGGTGTTTTAGTCGTTGACTTGGTCAGAGTAGTGATATGATTTATCCACCAAACTGGCTTCACACTTTTTGAACTAGACGTCGCTCTTTGCGCCTCAAGTTTGGAGCGGTAAATCTCGTACGCAACTGGATCAAGTTCGAAAGAAGGTGGAGGATCAAGTTCGTTGATATCATCGTTAAAAATTTTTGTTTTATAGTCTATGATAGGACTTGTAACACTAGCCGATGACTCCAGGAGGGAAGTATTTGGCGACAAAATGAGTGTTGAGAGTGAAGTTATGGTAATTGTAACCACAACAGACGAAGTCGCGGTAGAAGACAAAGATAATGGTACAGATGCAGTTAAAGTGTCGGGGTGCTCTTCTTTTGACTTGAGAATCGAGGCAACGTCTTGTTCTTTGGGCCGTGGAGATAGACAAGCTCCATGGGTCCTAAGGCATTTGAATTTTCCTATTTCCACAATCGGTGCACTTTTCAAATCTCCCAACGAGATAGCAATAAGAGCTTTCTTGTCAAACAGTCTTTTTAAATAGTCAAAATATCGTTTCTCTGACCCTCCTTCACACAGCTCTACTATACCCCAATCATGAAAGGCTTTGTGTAGCTTTTGCTGGAAACAAATCAATTTCAGGTCTTCAATCTTCTTGGCAATTATCATGAGTTGTGAGCTTGCTGTACCTGATAGACTCTTTTTCTTATCACGAAATTCAAAGGTCTCTGGTATTAAAATGAGGTTTGATGGTTCAATTGCTAGACATTTATGAAGTTAGTTTATATTTCATTTTGTTCAAGCAAAAAATATTCACCGAGAAGAAGCTTGGGTTTTCTTCGGATATGAGTCATGTAATTTTCCCCTGATAACGTTTTGAGTGACGTCGCTACTCGAATCTCCAACCTAGTCATTGCTGATGTTGCCTCGACGAACTCGGCTATCTCATTGCTGGTTGTACCTTGACTTGGAACCCAAAATATCAAAAAAACCAGCCAGCATAGTAAGACTTGAGATTGTACCATCTTCGCCGATGAACCTAGGATTTTTTGATCAGATATTTTCAAAACTTAAGAGTTGAGAAGATATTGCAAGGATCAAGACATTTTCATCTCAAGATATCAAGATATCTAGATTTAAAAGATATGTGATGTAGTGAGAGAAAATAGATGGTTAAAATAGTGGCTCCATTCTTGCCCCCAAAAATTGAGAAAACGCATCTTCAGATTAAGCCGTACTTCGTATTTTGCAATATGGCTGTATAGCTAGTCTCACATATGCCTCCACTAATATAAGTTTGAACCAGATCAAACTAAGGCCATTAGATTTTGTGGCGGAGAGTGGCGACACTATGACCGTCATGCACCAAAATAGTTAGACTGTCAGGTCTCAGTTAAGAGTTGGAATACGATCCGAGAAGAAATTCCAGCCACTTATTGCTACACAACAATTAAATGATCTATAATTTCGTGTTACTCTGCATATTGGTAATTATTATAGATTTAGATATCCTGAAGGCAGATTGAATAGACATGTAAAGAGTCACATAGCGATGTATGATGAGGATCCGTATTTTTTAATAAGCTAGAGATAATGCTTGAGAAGTTTCGGGCTCTAGCGAAAACGAGAAATCCAGTAGCCTAGTTTTAGATTGAGGAATCTGATCGAAATTTGAGCGTCAACGTCCAATATTCCACTTTTATTGAATATCAAAACTATGGACCTTGGTCGGAGGCAAGTGCAACCCGTGTAAGATTATCAGAAGTTCTAGTTGCTTAGTTGTCTGATAGTCTGACCCGCATCCTAACTAGTGAAGACTGAGCTTACTGAATGTTTGCCTATGAAGCTTCATGTGAATATGCGCATCCAAAAAAATACATAGGTTATTGGCTTGAACTCAGGTTCATCAGGTACAAAGTATAAAGTCAATTCATGTGACGAGAATAGCCACCTAAACTAATCAAACCCAGATAAACATATTACTGCTTAATTGCAGCAAATCCTAGCCAAATGATTTAACCAATCAATCTCAAGGTTTAAATAATAAAGATAAATCATGTGCAAATATGGATAAAAGAAATAGCCAAGCTACATCCCAGATTCGTCTAGCACTTGAAAGATTGTGAGTGGCTATTCAAGGATCAAGATCTATGCTACAGGTTCTGAAGATGATGATTGTCATATTTGTCGCAGCTCATTATTTAGACTGTTACATCTGGCTTTTTTCGGGAATCTGTAGCTTCAATGTGATGTGTTCTTAGTATATTCTCTCTCGAGTCGCGGAACTAGAGGCGTCACTGGAGACTAAGCTATAGCTTTTTCTCTATATTTTAACTTTATTTTGCATCCAAGTACTAGTTATGATTCTGACCAAGAATCTAGGCTGGTCGTGACTGACTGTATTATGTCCACTGGCTACAGGCTTGGACGATACGATGATGATTAAATTGAGTCGTGAAGTAGGGTTGTCTCCTAACTTCGCTAATTAAAAGTGATGAATTCTCTTGTAGAGATACAAACCAAGTCTTTGTCGTTTGGAAAGAGAATCACTTTACGCCCCCATTTGATGCTGGAAACTTAATTCGGGATGACTCGGCTTGAACCGCCGCATTGGTAGCAAGAGATTATTGATTGAGCTTGGTTATTATTCAATGGATGCAGTATTGTGCAAGCCAGTAAGTTTTAGAAGCAATTGGCGCAGAGTGAAGGTTTATTGATAGATATTGGCAGTGCGAGTAGAGTCGGTGCTGGTCTGTTGATTTATAACCGAATTCCAGGATGACGTAGAGAAGGCTAAAACAATGAAGCTTTGAAGGAGGATACTGTTGATTATGAGTACTCCTATTTTGACAATTTTATAGCTGCTTAGTCTCTGTAGAATCAGAGTAGGAGGCTGTTGACAGGAAGACCACTGTACCACCAGCATTTATTCTCATTGGAAGAATGGGCAATTTCGGGTTGGATTAGAACTTATTTATTCTTTACCCCGCTCGTGAGTGTTTGATACAACCATATCATGGACCAGACTACAGTTATGAAGCCTGAACTCAACAGCGAAACGATATCTCCAGTAATTACAGTTAAAAAGCTTGCCTACGGAGATCATGAGCTCCAGCGCGTCGCCGTTTACTCCGTACCGCCAATCGAAGTTGAGCATGGTGCAATTTGGCTAGTGTAGATCATTTACCCTACCTGTACTCAGAAGCATCTAACATGAACCAAGATATATTCATGGTGGTGCCTGGCGAGACCCTGAAATTACAGAAGATTCGTTTTTTCCGACCATCAAACGCCTACTCTTACACCCTCTCCGTCGACGCATAAAGGGCTTTGCGTCCATATCGTATCGCCTCTCACCACATCCCACACACCCGCAAGAGGCAGCGACACCGGCAAGCAAGTGCCGGAATGCGCAGCATCCTGATCACATCAATGATGTCCTTGCCGGCCTTACGTTACTGCAGAATCTGTATCATTTTGGCCACGACTATCTCTTAGCCGGACACTCGTGCGGCGCCACGCTTGCCTTTCAAAGTGTTATGCGCGATTGCTTCCCCTCAAGCACCCCCAAACCCTCGGTCATCGTTGGTATCGCTGGAATCTATAACTTACTGGGCTTGCGAGACCGCCATGATGATCCCACATATGGGGTCTTTCTCAACGCTGCATTTGGGGCAGACGAAAGCATTTTACACGCTGCGGCGCCTACCAACTATCCAGCCTTTCCTACTTCCTGGCCGGAAGCGAAGCTGGTAGTCTTGGCGCACTCCCGCGATGATAACTTAGTCGAAGCAGTCCAACTCAGCGACATAACCACTTCGTCACTTGCGCGGAGCAACGCCCGTATCGAAGTAAACGAGGAAATCATTATCGGTACGCATGATGCTGCTTGGAAAGAGGGCCAAATCGCCGACTTAATTGTAGAAAAGGTCCTCAAATCCTACTTTGCCTCTTAGTTCAGTGTTGCAAAGATTTTTCTGACCGTAAAAAATCTTCGCACTTCCATCTCATCTCGCGCGATGGTGTGATGACTATCATTACCTGACAACCACATAACTTGGCCAACGCAACTATAAGACTCTATCGGATAGCTTGCATATTTTGGTACGGCTTTGTTGCTGGATGCTTGGAAAAGTTTGGGCTATAAAGTAGAATACGTTGTTTTTACCCACGTGATTAAAAATTATGTACTTAGTTTCACTTGGGTAGATATTTGAACGAACGTGTTCTACAAACTCATGATTGAGTGGGCATTATTTCTTTTACACATAATGAAGTCTTCCATCTGAATATAATAGGGACGAAAAAAGCTACCATTAGGAAAATAAACTTAACTCACCTCAACCAGAGAGATGGTTGTGTTTATTGTACTACTTGAGTCTTAGACTATCTAGCACATTGGGCTCCTCTCTGACCAAGGCCACACCTTGTACGGTGCTCCTATCCTCTTTTGTTACCTGTAAGATCATTGATATATTGCCTGTGATGATGTAAGGGTTTAATGAATTCCGATATACTTGAAAGACAATAACTCAATAGGAATCAATAACTTGTTCCTTTGGAAGACCATCTACCACGTACTCTCCCATACGTTATATGCTCTGTGTAGAATATTCTTAACTCCCTCCATTGACCCCTGAGAATCATCCTTTCTCCCGGCACAACTCTTCTCCTGTATCATACTCTCCATCTGGTGCGTACCCCCTTAGTGCCCCGTTCGTATATCCAGGAGCGTTGCCCTGCCACTACCTTAGCTCGGAGACGGAGTGGTACTAGTGACCAGTCCCAATCAGGGCAAAGCCCGTCACAGATGGATAGCCATTCGGCTCAGTATTTACCCTTGGATTTCAGTTACCTTTTCTACGGAACCTCCTACCCAAAAAAAATAAGAATGGTAGCAATGGAAACTGCGTGCGCGGGAAAAAGTCTCAAAAAACCTGCAGCCCCAGCCAGGCGAGGCCTAGACACCGGGACCACATGAGGTGCGCATATCCATCTACATCTCACTTTTTTGTAACAGTCGAGGCCGACTTGATCCAATCCACCATCTCCGTATCGGGTGTTGGGTACGCTCCGGAAACTCATCGGATGGCTTTTCCTCTGTAATCAAGGTTTGGTGATGAGTAGAGCTCCGACCCTATCATCTGATCTGATCGTGGTTAGCTTCATGATAATGGTGAAAGGGGTATGTGTTGAGAGATGAAGACGATATAGACCGCGAAAGTGATTGGGAATCCTCGTCGAAGTGAGGACTTTGTTACTCAATCTCGGCTGAGCAGACTCTACAGTGAGAGCTAGAGGTTCGTAAGGGACACCACTGACAGGTGTTGAGAATAGTCCCCCGGATTTCCGAGGTTTCCAACAGGAAGTTCGTTTACACTATTTATACAGTGTGAATTCCGTCTTATCCTTGTCCACATCGTCTCATCTTTTCGTCTAATGCTATTTATACTTCTCCTGCAAGCCAGAATTGTTCAAACCAGCCTTTTGCCAGGATCCATTTTGTGATTCTCTCCATGTCATCTGGGCTGTTCATCATTGCCGCAAAGGACCTAACTTTTGCCTTTTAAAAAACCTCTTCTCTTCTCCTTACCCACTGAGGACACGCCAAGACCATTTGTTTGACATTTTGAGACGGATATCCACACTGGCATTTAGGATTCATCACTCCGGGGATATTCCTTCGATACAGATAAGAATTGAGACCAATGTGCTCACTCTTTATCTGAACTGCAATGCTGCTTTGGGCCCTACTAAGGTTCCGGTGGATATTTGAGGGTGTTTTTAATTAGGATATCCTTTTTCTGCCTGTTGTCTCATCTGTAACAATATTCGCGGCCTTCCAATGTTCAGGGTCTGCCAAAGCTCGATGACCAGACAGTATCTCGTTCTCTGAACGTGTCCATGAGTTTTTCCACTCCTGGAATACGGCCACCTTACCGACTTCATTTTGTCTCCCTTTTGCATTCTCCATACCATTCTGGTCCATTCTTCAATGTCTTGCTTTTGATTCTTGGCGTACCTGTTCTCGGTTCCCCTTGTGGTCTGCTTGACTCTGCTGCACGCAGATTGTATCGATCGCCTGACAAGTAATTCTTCCGATAGCCCGACGTGTTGGACCTATCTACTTTACTTATCTGATTGGATTTGATGATTTTGATTGAATTTAACTTCGTGCCTGTCCACAGCTCGTGACTACTGTCACGTGCTGGGAAGATTAGTCCTACAGAACCACCCGACGCTCTAGCGCGCCCTGCAGCACCTATAAATTACAAAAAAGAGCCCGAACAACTTTCCTCCAGCTGTATGGGGGAGAAAAGCGAATATAAACTGAGGAGGCCTTGGTGGGCGACTGGATGAAGCCTCCATTGAAGAAAATGACCCCTGAATGAGATGAGCCAAAGCTGGGACTGAAAGGAAGGGAAATGTCGCAGATCGCGAAGGTGTCAAGGGCTTAGGCGCGTGGTGGACGAGGCTGAGGAAGAATTTGCGCCACGGCTTATATACAGTGGGTTTCTGGACTGTCAGGCTTCGTATGATTCAACACATGGGTGAAGTCTGAGGTGGTCCGGTCATTCAGGTGAGACGAGGTAGATGTACTCCACGGTAGTTAACTTGATCCGGCCCGGCCCCACTCGTGCTTAAACTCCAGTAGGAGTGCTGCGGGAATCACTTTACCTAGCACGTTAATGCGCAAACAAACAGCTGTCCGCAACTCTGCTTTCCAATTTAAATGTAGCAAATTTTCCTCTACCGGGAACATCACTCTTGTTTCACAAGTAGTTTGAAATTATACCTGCAGAAAAAGAAAGTAAGAACAAATCCTTCCATCTAACATAAATCCTACACCAGATTGTAAAATTTCGCTTGGAAATATCTAATGGGCTCATATGATTTCGTCGTGGAACTTTGTCTGTTCGGCCCATTTTCCGAAGGCCTCGGTCAAAAATGACCCCAAGCCAGCGTGTGTGGTCGTTTGGAGTGACCTCTACTTGATTAGCGTATACGCTGGGCTCTGCTGAGGATCCATGCTTTCGGTGGAAATATTGCAGCTCAGTTTTTGATACTTCAAAATTGATGCCGTTCCCACGCTCCTAGGAGAGGGTTGAGTCTAACTGCTTCTGAAATAGTTATGAGCATCGAGTGAGAGACAGCGCAAATGCTACAAATGCCACATCGTCCTCATAACCATAGCGTTTTGGAGAGAGATTGAGGAGGCTTTCAATTGCCAGTAGGAATATGATTTGAGAGGCGGGAGACCCTTGTGGAAGCCTGCAGTCATGAGATGGAAAAAATTGACTCAGTGTCAATTTAGCACCTGCTAGCTCCTGCCGGACATCTGCGTCGGATAGAGCTTCTGGTGATCCGCAGGAATTGTATCCGTATTTTGGAGCTTGGCTTAGAAGAATGTTTGCAAATTTTTCTTGCCTTTCAATTGGTACATCTCCAGTCATGAGCTGCAGAGCTACAGCTGCCTAGAGAAGATCTGTTGCTTGGTCGAGAGAGGGGGAAACGAAAGCAATGCCAGATGGAACCAAACAAATGTTCTTGATTAGCTCTGGACGGTCTAGAAGGCTTCTCAACTTCGTGCGGACAAAGAGAGAATCTTGGTGGCGTAGGAGGTGATCTGGCGCTAGGCGAACCATAACCCTCGAGTCGGGCTTGAATTTTACAGCCACTGTTGCAGTTATCTTAAGTTTTGATTAGCTGGGCTAGGGTAGAGGAGCCTTTCTTCACCACAGATGCGTATGATAGGGGTGATGATGATGATGATGATATTTTTATCGTGACCGGGTACTGACCCAACACCCAGGGGGCATGGCACGGGTAGTCCAGATCTATATAAGACTCTTCGCTACCTACATGATTGGTTCATAGGAGCCATAAATACAGAAACAAAACAAATAAAAAGAAAAAACACCATTTCTGAGGTGCTAGCGCCCTGCACTACACCTCCATCCTCGTGCCACACTGAGCGGCCCTAAGAAGCAATACAGCTGACATTCAAGTTCCCTGTTTATGATTCAATTTTGCTGTAACATTTTGTTACAGTTAGAAAGCGCCAGAATATCTGCCATCCTTCTTGCCCTGTCATATCCCTTGTCGTAGGTCGTGGTTCCTTCGTTTCCGTTCTCCATTTCTGGATGGTCGGGCGACACTCTGCAAAATGCCATGGCCGTTTCTCTCGTCCGCATTTGCATCGCATTTCTTCATTCGGATTTTGAAATCGTCTGTGATAGCTAGCGAAATCACCATGCCCAGTCCTTGCCGCAATGAGGCGGTGATATGCCCATCGAGGTAAAGCTAGCTCCGGAGGGCGTTTTCTTCGCATCAGTAAGTCCAGATCTTCATACCTGTCCGATCTATTTTTATGCCACCAATCTTCCGCGAGTTTCTGTACTCGTATTGTGACTTGGCGTTTAAGTGCTGCGAATGTCAGGACTTTGTCAGATTCCTCCTGAGTGCACTCTGGTCTCGGGATATTTCCTTCCCTGGTTTTTGATGCAAGGGCTTCCTTTGCAATTGCGTCGGCTTTATCGTTCCCTTCAACACCACTGTATCCCGGAACCCAGTGGACTTCTACGGCAGGCTGAGCCTTGGATAGTTCAATAAAATTCCGGACCTCAGACTGTGAAGAGCTCGTTCTACCACTCACAAGGGCTCTTACCGCCTCTTGATTGTCGAGGAGCACCTTGATACCTATACTACCTCCAATTTCCGACGCCACTTCTAGGCCTCGAACTGCCCCGACGATTTCTGCATCAAAGACCTCTGCTCTTGGGAGAAAATTTCCACCACTCGCTATGAGTTCTCTGTCCCTGTATATAGCATAGCCATAGGCTGAGTATGCTGTACCAGTCTATGACCCATCAGAATATACACACAGCGTCCCTACAGGGAGATTTCTAAACCAATGATTTGTCCGCTTCGACTTTTCCTCCTTGTCGCATTTGGC